ATGCGAACTATCAGAACGTTCAGAAGTAATTTTGTCAACTTGATCATCGTGATTCAAGTTTCATTGCTCCTCTGGTGATGGCTTATCAAGCATTTCTTCATCACTTGTCATCTCATGTTGCTGCTCAATCTCTGCCTGTGGGTCATTTTCACATGTCTCGCAAAATAGGCCCTCCTCTAATTCTATGGGTGCCTCAGGTTGATGCTCTTCATCCGATGACTGGTCAGACTGGGTGTCATTGGGAGGTGAACGTGATGGCGACTTTGCCTGTTCTTGTACATCCTATATGAAATATTGAACATAAAAGAATATAAAAAATTACAGTCATAGAGTCAAGATAATCTTTAAAATGTTATGGTTTCTGAATCTGTAATAAAAAGCACAACAGTACACAAGTAAAAATTGAGAAAACCAACAACTTGTTCCCGGGTGATATTGACAGGCGTGAACAAGGTTGTCAACAAAACTTGCAACAATATTGTTGACAACTTGTTCATAGTGGGCAACACAACCTTCCTGTCGATATCAGCTGAAAGGCATTTGAGAGTGTTTAGGTCTTTAGACATGTGACCCAATCGCCCAATTTCACAGTCAGCGAAGCAGTGAATGCTCTCACTTGTTTCCAAAGCAAAGTGCTAAATTTAAACTATGCAGTGCCCTAAATTTAAACTATGTAGTGCCCTGCACGGCGGTTTATAATCAATGGCAATATTTGGAATGGTTGAAAATCAATGGCAATATAATCTCTATAACAGAGGGGGGTAATGGGGGGGTACCAATCCTGAAGCATGAAAAATAATATCCAGTGATCCTGAAGCATGAGAAATAAAAGAAGACAGTCCTGAAACACGTAAAATAACAACTTTATGAATTTTATATTTATTAACAACTATAAATACAAAATATATACTTTACGCTTAATAACACGACCACTTCTTGTGGACTTGACGATGCACTTAGCACCTTCAGAGCATGTAGGCTCAACATTTTCTTTAGCTCAACATTTTCGCCTAAACCTCTTGTGATTGCCTCTTTTCGTATCCCACAGATTTGGATGATTTTTCCTTCAACTTCGATAACGTCCGTATTACCTCATCATCGTCTTTTAAGAAAATGACACAGCGCTCTTTGGCTCCCACAAAATTATTCCTGGCGTTTCGATTTAGAAAATTAATTGAGCATTCCCTATATCAGTCTCAGATAAGGTTTTTGCGCCTGCCCCTATTTGTAACATAAGGTGTTCACCCCTATATCAGTGTAAGATAAGGTTTTCACGCCTGCCACTATATGTAACATAAGGTGTTCACCCCTAGATCATTGTAAGATAAGGTTTATAACTCTGCACCTATATGTAACATAAGTTTTTAACGCGCCTGCCCCCATATGTAACATAAAGTGTTCACCCCCATATGAGTGTAAGATAAGGTTTCCACTCGTGCCCCTGTATACACGTAAGATAAGGTTTTCACGCCTGCCCCTATATGTAACATAAAGTGTTCACCCCTATATGAGTGTAAGATAAGGTTTCCACGCGTGCCCGACATGTAACATAATGTGTTCACCCCTAGATCATTGTAAGATAAGGTTTAAAACTCTGCCCCTATGTGCAACATAACTTTTTTACGCCTGCCCCTATATGTAACATAAGGTGTTCACCCCTATATCAGTGTAAGATGAGGTTCATACCCCTGCTCCTATATGTAAGATAAGCTTTTTACCCCTGCCCCTATATGTAACATGACTCATCTGGAATTAACTTGAAAATATTACGTCACTTAATTAAACATTGTGTCATTATATTTCATGCCCCTATATGTAACATACCCATATATGTAACATGCCCCTATATGTAACATCACATTACCACCTCATATGGATATGTCGGCCATATTTGCATAATTATTTGCATTTTGCAACTTGCTCATGGGGGGATGGAAGTTCAATTGGGGCCATATAGGTATTCGAGCAATGTACATTATTATCCCATAAATACCCTTATGAACCTTCAGGCCGTATCCTGTACCTCTACGGCTGTCAACGGGCCTCAACGCTCCCCAGAAAGTGCACGATAAGGTCCGATAAATAAGACAAATAACAAAGTCAACAAAGCTAGATAGCGCTGAAAACGGAAAACGAATATTAAATTCACCACAAGCACGATGCACGCCATCATTTACAGGATCGAAAAACGTTTAATAAAAAATTTACAGAACGAAAAACGAATAGTTAAATTACACTAAAACGAAGCACGAAAATACCCCATTACCCCCCTCATAACAGACGCTGCCAATCCTACCATATACTGATGATATATCTTACAAAATCCTGTCGGTAGGTGTCACTTTTGTCGGAGAAAGGCTTCAAGAATCCCCAACAAATAACACTCGAAGAATCTTTTTGTTTTAAATCTATTTATCTACTAAAACCCTTACAGAAAGTCCTCAAAATAACAGTTTGTTTTTCACTCTGAATGTTTTTTACTAGCTCTCGTATTATTTTTCCCTGGCCCATACCTACTTGTCTCAGTCCAGGTCCTCTTCCGGTCTCCGTGCGTTTTAATAGTATAATGTAAACTTTCCTACATGTTATTGGTTTAAGGCGCCTCTTATGTTTGACACTTATATATTTTACCTTTACACGATGGTCGGTTGCTAAGCATTTTGCTCCCGCTAAGGTTTCAATTACGTAATTAGAACTTAGCGTCATGCTGTTCCATTTTCACACAAAGTATGCTACGCGATTTTGCGCATCCTATATTTTTGCTTTTTTTGTATCTAATCGACTAAGTTAAGGTTGAAATAGGAAGATATCTCATAGGAAGATATCTCATCTTGACCATGAAATTCCTTACAGCCTAACAGCATTTATCTAAATAGAGAAATATGGCTCCAGAGTGGCATAACTTTTCATGTGACTTTGTGGTTTACACGGCACATGGAAAGCCTAAAATGACTTTCTAGGGGTCCCTAAGTAAGATAATGTACATATATAAACAATTCCCCCTTGACAGCCCCCTTTCATTTTAACAGCGCAAGAAGAATCGGCCAATAAGTTACAAATTTGGGATGAGAAAATGAGATTGTTAGACTGCACTAAATCGAAAGTTCTCAAGGGGGAAATTTTGATTTACCAATTATTGACTTACATGAATGGCTAGTTGTTCAAAAGGAAAGCAAGAAAGTGATCCTCATGGCAAAATCGCTTGGAATTGTAACTAAATAATCAAATAAAATGTGCGCAAAGACATGAAATCTGTTTCAAGAAAAGCTGCGTATCTTAAGAAATTTAAACCACGAGTATATATGTGACTATTATTTTATGTGGTTGCGTGGATCTCGTACAGTATAAATTATAAATTTAGTATACCTAGGTATGATTGCACTCTAGCTAAATCAGTAAATATGCCATATATTTTGTCATCGATACAATGGAAGTATGTGTTTATATATCTCAAAAATACATATAAAATGAAAGCTTTGTGAATAGAACATATTCTGATATTCATCAAACAAATTCTTGTGTGAGCTATAGCAGATTTGTTGTGGCCAACCAAAACAGTCGGCATGTTACTCTGTCTGTATATTACTTTAAAGATATATAGTTACTCTGTAGCATCAGACAATTTCCCTAAAACTACCTGTATATACTGATGAAGAAACAGGAATTTAGGTGAAAAGACAAACACTGTGTACATTAGTTTGCGTTCAGCAATATGAAAGATAAATATAAAGGAGTGAGTTAAATGTTGCAGCCATGCTAGAGCTATTTGAAAAGGCAGTTAATAGTTACGATTGTTATTTGACAGCTAATAATAAAATTATCATGATCGTCCATTTAAATATTGAAGTTTACAAATCTGTTAAAATATACCCAACAAATTTGCATGGTCTAACAGCAAGAAATTTTAAGCCAAATACATGGCCTTTCCGATTATTATAAAGTAAAATGATGCCATTTCCCATTCACACTAACACCGCTGGAAAAAACGAAGCCTGTGCTTCCAGGGGCAAAATGCATAGCAACTGACCACCGTGTTAAGTGGCAGTGTAGCAGATCTGCTACAAATAGAAAAGTGCATGAATTTTTCGCAGTCTGGGTCTAGTTTCTTCTTTTACCCACAATGCAATACAGCCCACATTGTTGACATTGTGGTAATGGCGAAAATTTTTACCGAAGTGTCTTTTAGACAGAGAAAATTATGACCAAATCACAGTGATTTCGATAAGTTTTAAAGCTTTAAATATGTCACAATGTTCTACCTTTGTAAAGCGCTCTAGGGTACAAGTTTTAGAAAATAATATTTTACATAAGGCAGTCTTTTCATATTGTATTTATGTGCTTGTATAAATTCGTTTGTGTGTATTGAATAATTTCATAAAGATATTTCTAGCATATCTGCTACATTGCCACAAAGTGGTCACTGAAGCTCAGATTACATGAACATTATATTTTTGATAAAAGACACAACATGTGCTGTATTTTACTGCAATTTCCTTTGACTAGAGTTAACAACAAGTAAGTACTGTTTTTATAGTGTTTATATGTATATATACTCATACTGTGTATATACTATGTATTAGTAAAACTATTGTAAGCTTGATTTTATCCCTTTTCATCATGTTCATGAGCTTCAGTCTCCAGTGGCCAGATCCATATTAAGTTCTCACTTCCGAATATAGTGCGCTCGAGTCTTGGCTGCGAACCCTATGACTTTCTCATGTGCAAATAAGCAAGCAAACGCTCTGCTGGAAGTTATAGGTTTTATCCCGATACTAGGTTTCAGCATAAAGTTTCTGAAACGTTCTCTGATCGTTCAGACGATCAGAGAACGTTTCAGAAACTTTATTATGAATCCTGGTCATGCATCTAGCATTTTTAAGGTTTCAGCATGTTTCCTCAAACATGGAAAGTTGACACTGAAGCAATATTACCATTCATGTTACAAATATATAGCTATAGTGTAGTAGAGAGTGAGCTGAATATTTATGTGTTTGTAGAAAATGCCACGAAAAAATTCTAAAGTCTGTTTTGAGGATGTTTTTGAAAGCATCTTGAGCAGAAATGATTGTGAAGTAGAAAACCTAAGCTCTGATGAAGAGGTTGATGATACTGATTATGTTGCATCCAATAATCATGATGGTAGTGATGGTGACAGTAGTGATGACAATAGTGATGATAACGATAGCGACGATGTCGAAAGTGGGGAAAATGGTGACAGTGCAGATCCAGCAACCCAACAGAAACAAAAGAAAACATTTCGATGGAGAAAGAAAGATATGCCACCATCTGATGGCAGTTTTGATTTAGCAAAAGATGATATTGAAGAGATCAAGTCACCGCTGGAATATTTCAGACAGTTTTGGCCTGATGAGATAAACAACTTAGTTGTAGAACAGACCAACTTGTACAGCACCCAAAAAACTGGTACTTCAATTAATACCAACAATAAGGAGACCGAACAACTTATTGGAATGCACTTGAAGATGGGTATAAGTTGTACTGGTCACAGAAGATGAGATACCCAGCCATTGCCGACCAAATGCCATTGAAAAGGTACGAAAATCTGTGTTCACATCTCCACTTTGTCGACAACAATGACATGGAAGAAAACGCCTCAAAGCTGGCAAAGGTACAGCCTGTTATTGACATCGTTCGGGAACAATGTCTGAAAGTTAGTCCAGAAGAAAGCCATTCCGTAGACAAACAAATTATACCTGCCACGACAAAGTTCAGTGGTATCTGGCAATATAACCCCAAAAAGCCAGTGAAGTGGGGGTTCAAAAATTTGGTACGTGTTGGTGCTTCTGGTTTCATGTATGACTTTTACATTTATGCCGGTAAGGATGAAGACATGGACAATGTCGACTTCAAAGACTTGCAGAAATCTTCCCAAGTTGTTGCGCGACTTTGTCAACATTTGCCATCCCACAGTGGTCCATTAATTGTTCTTTGACAACTGGTTCACAACATTGGACTTGCTAATATACCTAAAGAATAAAGGTATACTAGCATGTGGTACAGTGCGCGCCAACCACCTTCAAGGATGTCAACCCAACAAGGACTTGAAGCAGGACGTGGCACCATGGACTTCAAGTCTGATACAGAGTCGGGAATAATTGTAGTAAAATGGTTAGACAACAACATTGTCCACATTGCCTCGACTTATATCGGTGTGGAGCCATTGGGTTCAGTACAAAGGTGGTCCCCAAAAGACAGGAAAAGGATGAGCATCCAGTGTCCACAGCTGATCTTGCGCTACAATAAAGGGATGGGAGGTGTTGATAAGGCTGACATGCTCATGTCATTGTACAGAATCAATTTCAAGACCAGAAGGTGATACATCAAAATCTTTTGTCACCCTGTCGACATAGCAAAGGTCAGTGCCTGGCTTCTCTACCACAGGCATTGTGATCATTTGAGGATTGGAAAGAAACAAAGGTTGTCGTTGCTGGACTTTGTTTTGGAAATTTCCGAAAGTTTGATCAGTCCCATGTAAACAAGCAGTGGTAAGCCAGGTAGACCAACCAAACGAAAATTGTCCGAGGCTGCTGGTCCATCAGCAAAGGTTGGTGGCAAACCCACCACGCCTTTGCCATCAAATGATGGACAGAATGACCAACTCAGACATTGGCCCAACCCTGTGAATGGAAACCGCAGTTGGTGTCGCTATTGTAAAGATGGGTTCTCCAAAATCTTTTGTAGCAAATGTAAGATATGTCTTTGCTTGAGAAAGGGGAAAAACAGTTTTCTGGACTACCATAATTCTAAATAACTTTCATTTTGAACTTGAACTTTTCTATATTCAATGTGGCAAATATATATTTATGTCATGATTTTTCTGTGTTGGTGTAATGTACTCAGGTGAATATGATGCTTGTAATGTTACTCTGAGTGCATATCCACACTGGGCAAGCTTGAAAAATATGCCTGACCATGGTGGGATTCGAACCTACGACCTTTGGAATACTAGCCCAATGCTCTGCCAACTGAGCTACGCGGTCTGGTCGGTTCGAGTATGTGATATTTCGGAACAGAATCTAGTTCCTTCGATATCAATGTTATCTAATAATAATCATGATTTTTCTGTGTTGGTGTAATGTACTCAGGTGAATATGATGCTTGTAATGTTACTCTGAGTGCATATCCACACCGGGCAAGCTTGAAAAATATGCCTTACCATGGTGGGATTCGAACCTACGACCTTTGGAATACTAGCCCAATGCTCTGCCAACTGAGCTACGTAGTCTGGTCGGTTCGAGTATGTGATATTTCGGAACAGAATCTAGTTCCTTCGATATCAATGTTATCTAATAATAATCATGATTTTTCTGTGTTGGTGTAATGTACTCAGGTGAATATGATGCTTGTAATGTTACTCTGAGTGCATTTCCCACCGGGCAAGCTTGAAAAATATGCCTGACCACGGTGGGATTCGAACCTACAACCTTTGGAATACTAGCCCAATGCTCTGCCAATTGAGCTACGCGGTCTCGTCGGTTCGAGTATGTCATATTTCGGAACAGAATCTAGTTCCTTCGATATCAATATAGTCTAATAATAATCATGATTTTTTCTGTGTTGGTGTAATGTACTCATGTGAATATGATGCTTGTGATGTTACTCTGAGTGTATATCCACACCGGGCAAGCTTGGAAAATATGCCTGACCACGATGGGAATCGAACCTACGACCTTTGGAATACTAGCCCAATGCTCTGCCAACTGAGCTACGCGGTCTCGTCGGTTCGAGTATGTCATATTTCGGTACAGAATCTAGTTCCTTCGATATCAATATCATCTAATAATAATCATGATTTTTTCTGGGTTGGTGTAGTGTACTCAGGTGAATATGATGCTTGTGATGTCACTCTGAGTGTATATCCACACCGGGCAAGCTTGAAAAATATGCCTGACCATTATGGGAATCGAACCTACGACCTTTGGAATACTAGCCCAATGCTCTGCCAACTGAGCTACGCGGTCTCGTCCGTTCGAGTATGTCATATTTCGGAACAGAATCTAGTTCCTTCGATAGTAATGTCATCTAATAATAATCATGATTTTTTCTGTGTTGGTATAATGTACGCAGGTGAATATGATGCTTGTGATGTTACTCTGAGTGTATATTCACACCGGGCAAGCTTGAAAACTATGCCTGACCACGGTGGGAATCGAACCTACGACCTTTGGAATACTAGCCCAATTCTCTGCCAACTGAGCTACGCGGTCTGGTCGGTTCGAGTATGTCATATTTCGGAACAGAATCTAGTTCCTTCGATATCAATATCATCTAATAATAATCATGATTTTTTCTGTGTTGGTGTAATGTACTCATGTGAATATGATGCTTGTGATGTTACTCTGAGTGTATATCCACACCGGGCAAGCTTGAAAAATATGCCTGACCACGATGGGAATCGAACCTACGACCTTTGGAATACTAGCCCAATGCTCTGCCAACTGAGCTACGCGGTCTCGTCGGTTCGAGTATGTCATATTTCGGAACAGAATCTAGTTCCTTCGACATCAATGTCATCTAATAATAATCATGATTTTTTCTGTGTTGGTATAATGTACTCAGGTGAATATGATGCTTGTGATGTTACTCTGAGTGTATATCCACACCGGAAAAGCTTGAAAACTATGCCTGACCACGGCGGGAATCGAACCTACGACCTTTGGAATACAAGCCCAATTCTCTGCCAACTGAGCTACGCGGTCTGGTCGGTTCGAGTATGTCATATTTCGGAACAGAATCTAGTTCCTTCGATATCAATATCATCTAATAATAATCATGATTTTTTCTGTGTTGGTGTAGTGTACTCAGGTGAATATGATGCTTGTGATGTCACTCTGAGTGTATATCCACACCGGGCAAGCTTGAGAAATATGCCTGACCTGATGGGAATCGAACCTAATACCTTTGGAATACTAGCCCAATGCTCTGCCAATTGAGCTGCGCGGTCTCGTCGGTTCGAGTATGTCATATTTCGGAACAGAATCTAGTTCTTTCGATATCAATGTCATCTAATAATAATCGATATCATGATTTTTTCTGTGTTGGTATAATGTACTCAGGTGAATATGATGCTTGTGATGTTACTCTGAGTGTATATCCGCACCGGAAAAGCTTGAAAACTATGCCTGACCACGGTGGGAATCGAACCTACGACCTTTGGAATACTAGCCCAATTCTCTGCCAACTGAGCTACGCGGTCTGGTCGGTTCGAGTGTGTGATATTTCGGATCAAAATTTGGTTCCTTCGATATCAATGTCATCCAAGAATAATCATGATTTTTTCTGTGTTGGTATAATGTACTCAGGTGAATATGATGCTTGGTGATGTTACTCTGACTGTATATCCACATCGAGCAAACTTGAAAAATATGCCTGACCACGGTGGGAATCGAACCTGCGACCTTTGGAATACTAGTCCAATGCTCTGCCAACTGAGCTACGCGGTCTGGTCGGTTCGAGTATATGATATTTCGGAACAAAAAAAAACAACACAGATTATTATTAGATGACATTGATATCGAAGGAACTAGATTTTGTTCCGAAATATCACATACTCGAACCGACCAGACCGCGTAGCTCAGTCGGCAGAGCATTGGGCTAGTATTCCAAAGGTCGTAGGTTCGATTCCCACCGTAGTCAGGTATATTTTTCAAGCTTGCCTGGTGTGGATATACACACAGAGTGACATCAGAAGCGTCATATTCACCTGAGTCATTACACCAAAACAGAACAAATCATGATTATTATTAGATGACATTGATATCGAAGGAACTAGATTCTGTTCCGAAATATCACATACTCGAACCGACCACACCGCGTAGCTCAGTTGGCAGAGCACTGGGCTAGTATTCTAAAGGTCGTAGGTTCGATTCCCTCCGTGGTCAGGCATACTTTTCAAGCTTGCCCAGTGGTGATATACACTCAGAATAACATTACAAGTATCATATTCACCTGAGTACATTACACCAACACAGAAAAAATCATGATTATTATTAGAAGACATTGATATCGAAGGAACTAGATTCAGCTCCGAAATATCACATACTCGAACCGACCAGACCGCGTAGCTCAGTTGGCAGAGCATTGGCCTAGTATTCCAAAGGTTGTAGGTTCGATTACCACCGTGGTCAGGCATATTTTTCAAGCTTGCTCGGTGTGGATATACACCCAGAGTAACATTACAGGCATCATTTTCACCTGAGTACATTACACCAACACTGAAAAAATCATGAGAATCATTTTATGTTGATGATGGTCTTCCCTCAGTCAAGACGAAGGAAGAAGCCATAGTCCTTTACCATCAATTACAACAACTCTTTCAGAAAGGTACTTTTAAATTGCACAAATGGGACTCAAATTCACCTGAAGTCCTCAATGCCATTCCAGAGGAACTTCGAAGTGTCACAGCTACAGCGAATCTGCCTGAATCAGACCAAAACTCTTGGAATCGATTACAACTCGGAGCAAGATCAATTCCGATTCTCGGTGTCCAACTTTCCCACTGAAGAAACTGAACTTACCAAACGTTTAATATCAGATTCGGCCATGATCTTCGATCCTCTCGGTCTTGTGTCGTGTGTTACTATCGTAGTAAAGATTTTCTTCCAACGCCTGTGGGACCGAGGTATTGATTGGGGCGGTCCGCTTCCTGCAGACATCGAAAGAGATTGGAATGAGTGGAGAAATCGACTACCTGAACTTTCTTCACTGAGAATCCCACGTTGTTTTGCTCCCATCAATTGTCAAATTGTTGACAAACAGTTGATCGGGTTCTCTGATGCAAGCGAAAGAGCTTATTCTGCCATGGTCTATTTAAGAAGTGTCCACACGGCCGGCGGTGTACACATATCTCTCGTATAAGCCAAAACCAAGGTTGCTCCTATAAAGAAAGTATCGCTGCCACGTCTTGGATTGTGCGGTGCCCATCTTCTAGCTCGTCTTGTAAAACATCTCAAAGCTGTCCTTGAAATTCCTACTAAAGATATCTATGCTTTTACGGACAGTTACATTGTATTGTATTGGATATATGGAACCAGTCACCGGCTGAAAACCTTTGAAGCAAATAGAGTCTCTGAATCCAGGAAAGTTTACCTCCTGAGCGATGGAAAGATGTCAAAGGAAATGAAAACCCTGCTGATGCCGGTTCTGGTGGTATTCTCCCTAAAGATATTATCAATCATGATTTATGGTGGTCAGGACCGCATTGGTTAAAATCGGATCCGTCAACCTAGGAATCGAAATTAGTTATCCTTCCTCCCTTTGAACCTGTGTTGACATCTGGCATCCGAGAAGAAGATTTAAGTTAAAGGATAAAAATAAAGTCTCAATGCCGGTAAACACAACGAACATTTTACCAAGGCCTGTAATCGACATCAATCGATACTCAAGCTTCATTCGATTAATGAGAGTTACTGTGTTCATTCGCCGTGTAGTCACCAAAAAATACCTATTTACTTCAATTACGCCACTAACGTTTGATGAATTACACAAAGCTGAAACATGGTGGTTCAAGAAAGTACAGTCTAAAATGTTCTCTGAAGTCATCGCTGTACTTAAGAAAGGAAAACAACTATCCAATAAACACTATCTAAAACCTCTAAACCCATTTCTCGACTCATGAGGGTTTGCTGAGAGTTGGTGGACGCCTTTCACAATCACAACTAGAATTTGACTCACGTCACCCTTTAATTCTTCATGAAAAACATCGACTTACCACCTTGCTTGTCGAACATGAACACAAACGATTGTGCCATGCAGGACCTAAACTGGTCTTAGGAACACTTCAACAGCGTTATCATATTACCAGTGCTAGAAGGATTGTTCGAAAGTGCACTCGTTAATGCGCGATCTGTCGGCGTACATCTCCAAAGGTTTCCACGCAGCTAATGGGTCAACTCCCAAAAGAAAGAGTCAATCCATCATTCGTAAACGAAATGGTCTCAGTTGATTATGCAGGTCCTGTTTTCATCAAAGCCGGATCCAAACGAAGACCAATTTATCAGAAGGCGTACATTGCTATATTTGTCTGCTTGCAAACCAAATCCTGCCATATAGAAGTAGTATCTGATTTACCAGCTGAAGCATTCGTCGCAGCACTACGTCGATTCGTGGCGAGACGAGGAAAACTACGTCAAATTTGGAGTGACAATGCAACATGTTTTACTCGAGCAAATAAAGATCTCAAGGATTTTTATGACTGCTTAAAGGAAGCAGAGACACAAGCGACTATTGCCAATTTTTGTTCTACACAAGGCATACAGTGGAATTTCAGCCTTCCTACAGGCCCTCATCATGGCTCAGTATGGGAAAACGGTGTCAAGGCATGCAAGTATCATCTCAAGAGGATTGTCGGTGAAACCAAACTGAACTTTGAAGAACTAACTACGTGTCTATGCCAAATCGAAGAACTCTAGACCGATTGCTGCTTCTATCGACAGTAACGACGATGACGGGATTGCTCCGTTAACTCCTGGTCATTTTTTAATTGGTAGACCATTGGAATCTCTTCCAGATCATCCCGATACAGTTAATAAACTGATGAAAGTACTAAAACGTCGGTACTTGTGTCAAGCCCTGGTTCAACATTTTTGGAAAAAATGGTATACCGAATATTTAACTATTTGCAACGTTTCAACAAGTGGAAACATGAGAAAAGGAACTTATCTATTGGACATATTGTCGTGGTCAAAGATGATCGTTTATTACCGTGCAAATGGCCTCTCGCCAGAGTAATAAAAGTTCAACCTGGTCCTGACAAGTTAGTGCGTGTAGTAACTCTGCAGACTAAGGAAGGAGCTTGTGTCAGACCTATAGTAAAGGTTTGTATATTGTTGCCCAAAGAACAACAAACTGACATTACAAAGGAATAGTACTGTAAATGCATGCATGTGTAAGTTTATGTCTGTGTTAATGTTTTGTTGATGAATCAAGGCCGGCAGAATGGACACGCGTCGAACTTCATATAAGAATCATTTAGTTAACATTACGTAATGCTTTCGCGCACATGCGCGGTGGAAAAAGTAACTCGTGCTTGTAATCATGCTTTTAAACAAACTTAAGACAAAATGTGAAATTCATATTAAAAAACACAAAACAACATAAATTATCTCTTCCTGCACCGTTGGCGTATCTAGTAACAAGAAATAGGATGTTCTGGAAACTAAACAGAAAGTTCTTATGTTACGTGTTTGTCTGAGTTGACGTTAATTTGTGCATGGTCTCGTTGATTGAGCTCATTGTATTTTCGTATAATGAAGTAATCGTCAAATAGGAAAGCTAAGGTGAAATGTACTACCCAGCGATGCCGAAAGATCGATAATAGCGGGTGCAGACATTCATATATTCGTGTTCACAGAGTGTAAAAACAATCGATTTCAAAAGAAATTAATTGGGCAGAACGCGAATATATGAATATCTGCACCCGCTATTATCGATCTTCCGGCATCCCTGGTACTACCACATAGAATAGCATTTAATGAAGTTGAAACAATTAAGGATTTGTGCACGATATGGTACATGCAGTTCAACATCAAACAAAGGTCTTCTAGTTTGTAGCTTTAAAGTTTGTCGGGCTTCCAGACCACCATATCTTGACAGATTATACATACAAAGTAAAAACACTCTCTATCCCCTAATCCTTTCCAATTCTTCTATCACAACAGTTTTGGGCGAGAATAACGATAAAATTTTCGAAAGTGGATTAAATATGAGGTAGCTATAATACAGGGCATGGAAACTAGTCAAACAATGCACTGGCCATATACATGCTATTATTGATTTGTTCCATATATTATAGTGTTGAAAAATAATAACCACACCTTTGGTTTTTACAAATAGAATGAGTTTAGACTATGTGCACTTAGTTTATTTAATATATTTGAGATATTTTCCTTTGGATCGTGTGAACATGACTTAAAATTAAACGATTAAAGGGGCAAAAACGTTTTTGAGAACGCTCGAAAACAACGCTAGACTTGTCTTTATGACTGTTTTTCAGCGCCTCGTCTTTCAACATACTTTTTAGTCGTTTATAGGCAAGTAGTAAGCGCCTATACTCGTTTATTGAATATTTACTTCAAACTATTTATGAAAATTATGCATTTGAAAAGATGCTATGAATTGATGTTATAATGTTCTAAATTTTCACTGAACGCAAACCATTATAACTGAGAAGAATTCTGTAATTTTTTGTGCTATATATAAGCACTGAATATAAATTTAAATCAAAGAAAAAGAAAAACAATGAGTGCAGCCTTAACCCAAAACAAGTAGCAGTCATGCAATGAAGTGTCTAAACAAAGGTACAGGTTCAGTAATATTTAGAGTTCAGTGTTGGGTTATATGATCGGGCACCAGTCATTTGTTTTCCTGTAGCTCATGAAATTATAAGCAAATTGAAAAAATTATTCAAGTGTGACGCATCAATCGAAAAATTAAACTTTTATAGTTCCGTATGGGCACAATTGAATTTGCATGGGTATTGAGTACGAATACCCAGAAAACTGACGATAGCCGATTTAATTCGCGCGAAAAGCATATGCTCACAGACTCAGTTCAGCCATATAATTAGCCGATTATTGACCTCGCTTGTTCGGTCTGTACTGTGAAATATCAGACCTCTATTTTTTGCACGGACCTCGCTCCTTCGTCGCTTGGTCCATACTAAAAAAACCTAGCTCGGATGTTTCACAGTACAGACTTCACGCTCGATCAATAAGCCGTTATTATTATCCAGTTGTGCATGCCTCGCAAAGATAAATAGTACAGGCGAGAAAATCACTCTGTAAGAGTTCAAAATTTGATATATTTTCAAGGCTTATGGCTGAAATTAGGTAAGCATTCCAAATAGAACTTTAAATCCAATAAAATGATATACAAAATGATATGACCCCTTTTGACAAAAATGGCATAAAATCAATTAGATTATTTGAAGCAAAAGACACTTTTGATATAAATATATATTGCTTGTTATTTCATTTTAGAATAACTCTGAACATTGTGCGTCATTTAATCCTTTTGATTTACAATGGCGTGTTATTTTGCATGTATTGTCGGACTGTAGTTCATGAGATAATTGGCAGTGATGCATGGCTTAAAGGACATTGGCAACGAACATTTTTATTGGCTATTTCAATCCTACTTGACAACCAAACTATGAAAATATTATCATGTCCTTCTCGAACATTTTAGTCTACGAGTAAAATGAATGCAAACTTTGTGTTTCTCCGCCATCTTGGAAAACATTTTTCAAAAATTATCTCGAACGTCAATGAACTTTGTGACATCATTGGCTGGGTTGCACCAAAAATTGGAAGTGTAACTTCAATCCAATTGCGTGACACTGAGAATAAATTAGCTGTTCCTATGCCTCGCACAAACTATTTGAAAAACATCTTTAGTTGTAGTGGCGCTGCTTCCAATCGGGTTACGGCAAGCACAGTCCCTTGACAATTTTCGAGCAGGCTGTAGAAGTCTTTTATAAATTTTAATGGCTATTTTTAATACACGGCCCTCATGGAAAGCAGGTATAGAGATAACTTTGTAGTCATTGTAGTTTTTGTAATATAGTTTAGTTAATGTAGCCCATGTAATGTAAATCCTGATGAGTAATACCGTGCCTAAATAAAGTTTTAATAATGCAAAGCTGGATCAATAATTTACTTGGTTAGTCTTTGAACGCATAATCTTTGAACGCGAATAAGGTTATGGCGATATTATTTGGTGAAAAGCTTAGCTTAGCACGGACTGGTGATTATCAATCACTGAAGAATTTTGTAAGCGACGATCTGCAGCTGGAAGGCGTTTGGTCGCAGCCTGGAGGAGATAAAAAGCTATTCACTGGAGATGAAGCAACGATAATTTGGCGAAGGAATAAGAACTTGCTGAGTATCGATGGGAAGAGAGCAAACGATATCGTTGGAAAGTTATGTAAAATTATATGTGGGCAAGACGAAGACAGCTCAGAAACGCCTGTCTCGAGGCGATCAAGCGTGCAATCATCATGTACTTGTGAGGGGATTGAAACTCTTAAACAGAGACAGTTGATCAATGGAGAAGCGATTCAAGTGCTATCGGGGTCTGTTGCACAACTCGCGTCGATGATTACACAACTTTCGGATTTTGTGAACTGGAAAGAGACAAATCATTGTAGTGCAGCTTCGAAAGCGCCAACATTTGAAGCGGATAAATATGGTAATCTGAATCCTTGCAACACAAAACCCTAGTGTTGCCCTAGTGTACCTAATGAGCCTACCAATCTCGTTAACAACAATGAGGTTAGTAACGATTTACATGATTGCACTACAGAAAATTTAAATGTAATATTAACAGTTACTTGATTCAGCACCCGAAAATGACTTAACAGTTGAGAGGAAAGTTGACTGTTTATATGATTTAACGCATAAAATCTACAACTCGCTCAACAAGTCGACTATCATAAACGCCGATTCAGAACAATTATGCAAGTCCGATGTCCTAAACAACGATAATCAAACAGAAAACTCATCTCGCTCTGAATATTATGACTTGTCTATGGATCTGGAAGGCGTTAAACTCGATGTTGTAATTAATCAATCTAAGCTTTCAAACAGTATCTCAATAAACCAAAAAGATACATAGCCAAAACACTGAAGCGACAATCAACTCAGAGACCAATTGTCTAATATGCAAAGCAGAATTGTTGCATTAGAAGCCAAACTAGATAATCCCCTACCAAAGAAATTAACAACGAATGAGAATTCCCCGGAGAACAATGAGAGTAAGACTGCCTCGCCGCCAACACAACCTCCATTGAACCAGTTATACAATGTCGAAATATCGATTATAAAACCCTTGGCCTTGGATGAAAATAAAAATCAATCACGCGTTATTTAGAAAGCAATCAAGATCAAAACGGGTGGTTGAACCCCGCGCTTGATCCCCTAGAACTAAATTAGACAGACAAAATTTCCCACATATACAAATGTGAAATTAAGGAAGCGACTAACATTCAATACAATGATCAAGGCGAAGCTATTCGAGATTCCGATTGTTCTCCTGAACAAAGTGTCATACGCAGAATTAAACCTAAACCTAACACCAAATACAAAGGCCATAAAACATCATTGAATACAATTAATAGTCTAAAACAAATGGCAAACGGCACAATAGACGTCACACACTGCGACACGAATAACAGGATAGAACATAGCGATCAGGGTCAAAGCGAAAAGAAATGTAAACACAGTCTACCTATAGCAATCTGTAATGTTGTACTTATTTATTCAACGCTCAATCAATCACTAATGTGAACACACCCTAAAACTATATATAAATGTTATTGTATCACATGTCTATCATGTGATCACTGCATCCCTCCCTTACTTTGAATTGTCACTGAAGTCCTAACAAAATGTCAATGGTATTATAAAATCGA